TCCACCTGAGCAGGGTCTTGATATGGCTTGAGCAAGCCAATATAGAAGACCGGATGCGTGCGCATCTTCTTCGGAAGGTTGAGCGTATACGCTAGGCCCTCCTGGCCACGACCTTAAATGGTCCTATGAACCGAGGTCTTAACTTCGTTTTGAAGACTGCAGACACTGCATGAGTAGGTAGGTTTCTAGCGTTTAATAAAACTTGGTCTCCGACCTCAAACCTCTCAACATTGCTTCTGCCCTTGGTATCTGTATGTTTCTTCTGCGTGTCTTGGCTTTCAGCCATAGCGTCGCGTACTTAACGCATTACGCTCAGTCTCAAAGAGACAAAGGCATCGACTTGCTTGCGAACCGCAACAGGGCTGACATCAGCTAGCCGCCCGGCTATCCCTCCCCCATCAAGCCCTGAGCCACTGCGTGGCGGCGTCAGTGGGACGCGAGGGTTAACCAAGCCGTTCACATAGAACGGAGTGTAGCCTGTCGAGGCGTGTACTGCATTATTTAATGCGAACTCAACGAGTGGGAGCATCTGGCTCCAGCGTTTTGGCGCCTCAGCGCATACGCTTCGGAGGATATCCTCCACAACGCGATTCACGCGTTCGGTTTGACCATCGGTCTGCGGATGGTCCGCTGTGGACATGTCCAACCGAGTGCCAAGCACTCTGAAGAGGGACGTCCAGAACTTCGCGGTGAAGCGCGGGTCTCGATCCGAGACAATTGCCTCAGGCAAGCCATGTTGGCGAAAGACTCGGTCTAAAAGCAGCAAAGCTGTACCTTCATCATCAACGGTGTCCGGCACTGCTGCTAAATGAGCCATCTTGCTCAATCGGTCTACAAAGATCACTACACCCGTGTTTCCAGCCTTATCCTTGGGAAGGCCAAACACAAAGTCCATACTCATGGACTGCCAGCATCCCTCGGGGACAGGCAAACTCACCAATGGCGCTGCCGTGCTCGGCGCGGACTTTGTCCGTTGACACGTCTCACACGTGCGTACATAGGTGCCGACCCACTTATACATCTTGGGCACCAGTACATCGAGCTCACCGAGCCATAGGTCTTCTCCCGACCTAAGTGCCCGCCCACGGGCGTATCGTGAACCTCATAGAGGATTCGATACTTTAGATCCTGATCATGAGGAACGACTACACGAGGGTTATCCTCAGAGTCGGTGCTGTAGTACAGCAGGCCGCCACCGAGTGAGTATCGATGCAGCCTCGCGCGTAAGCGCCCAGACAACTCCTTGTCAGAGTCTTTAAACCCTTCGCTCCCAAGAGCCCGTAGCAGCGCTACGCACATGGCGTCCTGTGCATACGCTCTGCGTATCAAGTCAGGCACTGACGACATCACTGTCGTGACATGAGCTAACTCGTAGTCCGGCCTGCGCGAGAGCGCATCGGCCACTACATTAAGCCGCCCCGGCCTGTACTTCACCTCGAAGTTATATTCGCCAAAGAAGGAAAGACATCATGCCATTCTCTGAGAGAGATGAGCCGACTGTGTCGCAGTGCGTAACGACGCATGATCAGTAAATATCACAAAAGGCTAGAGCTAGCAGTGTACCCTGATTGACTAGAGCATACTTCATGCAGTACTCTTTGTCATGAACTAAGATAGTTCTTCTCTGCAGCTTTGAGCTGGCGAGACTCAAACGCGATCACGCGTTCACGCCCTTCGGCGTCTGCTTGTAGTAAAGCACAACCGATTGCAAAATCGGAGGCGTCACAGACGACGCTAAACGGACTATCCGGGTCCGGTAGCGCAAGGATCGGAGCCTGGAGAAGGCTCTCCTTCTCAGCCTCAAAGGCTCCGTCGTGCTCGACGTTCCAGCACCGTGGTGCGTCCTTCTTAAGGAGATTTGATAATGGCCGAGCCATCTCCGTGTAGTTCGCGCTGTATTTGTGCAAGTAATTGGCTAAGCCTAGCCACTTGCGTAAGTCCTTTTGGTTCTTGGGAACCGGCCAGTCCACGATGGCCTTGACTTTGGCAGGATCTGCCCTTAAGCCTCGCTTCCCAATGAAGCACCCGAGGAAAGGTATTTCCTCCGCGCCAAAGACGCACTTGTCCAAGTTGGCATACAACTTATTAGTGCGCATGCACTCGAGCACCGCTCGCAAGTGGTCAATGTGGTTTTCCACGTCTGGCTTTCCGTGCTCAGCACGACTATGGACGAATATATCGTCAAAGTACGTTTGAGCGCTCGCTCGGTGGGGCCTAAGCAACTGCGTCACAAGACGATTGAACGTTGCTGCTGCGTTCGACAGCCCCTGGGGCATGAACAGCCACTCCCAGAGCATACCGCTCGGAGTACTCACCGCTGTCAGCGGAATGTCGCTCGCTCTCATGAGCAATTGGTAGTAACCATCGACCAAGTCGAGCGCACTGTACAACGTACAGCCTACCATGTTGTTCTGCAGAACATCCTTGCGAGGAATCGGCGTTTGCGCCGGGATAGTGGCCGCATTTAGCTTGTTAAAAGCATGAACAATGCGCCACTTGCCGCTCGGCTTTCTGACACAGAACGTGGGTGTCGAGTGCGGAGGCTTACTCTCGCGCACCATCCCTGCCTCGTGCTTCGCACGGAAGAATGCGTCAATGACGTCACACTGCTCTCTCGGCAAAGGCCATTGCCTTGTTACGCAGTATTTGGTTCCAGGAACCAGGTCAATCTCATGACACACGCCTCGATCCGGAGGCAGGCCCGTCGGTGGGTCTTTCGAGACAACGTCTCCATACTCCTTCACCACCGGGTAGAAGGGATCCGAAGGATCTTTTAGGATCGCCGATCCACTTCTTGCGCTCAGCGCCTTCTTGGTGTCCTCTAGGACCGCGTCGTCCACGACGGATGAGGAGTTCAACTCCTCCTCAGGTCCCAGCAAGACCACCTCGGCTAGCTCGCCTGCCTTTAAGGCTTCGCCGAACTCGGCAATGGACATCTCGTCCAGCTCTAGCAGAGCATCTGCAGCGGGCAGAGTATCAAGGCTGATATCGCCTTCTACCTCCCCCGTCACTCCGTTCACGAGTGTATACAGCTGCTCACAGCAATCACGTGGAGCATCACCGCTCGTCACGTTGGACACATCGTCCGACGTCGAAGACGTCACAGACGCCCTGCGTCTTCTTCTCCTCTCCCTCCGCGACCGAGCCCGGCCGGATGAGGGCGGTGTGGCGACATCTCCATCACCACCACCGGGTGCAGCAGCACCATCACTCCTCGAAGAGGATACAGTGTCTCGCAAGACACTCGGCTGAAAGCCAAGAGGATATTGACCTTCACACAGTGACCTAGGTGTCACTTCACCTGCATCCCCTGGGCTACGCCCATGATGCCTCGACTCGCCGTCGACCGCGACCCTCGGGTTACGCAGCGGTAGGTCATCGACCAGATTCGTACCACTCACTGGATTACGCGCCACTCCGCGCTCGTCCTCACCAGGACCCAGCAGTTGGTCATTGACCTGACCTGCACCGCTCAGTGGATAACGTGCCGCACCACGTACGCCCTCAGGGCAAACAGCAACCTCGTTGCTAACAATTTCGGACATACCAATGTCCAGCACTACGGCCGCCTCGGCCTCGTGCTCGCGCCAAACGCGCTTCTGCTTCCTAGCCGAGGTGAGTTCATGACTCACCAAAGCTCCGCTAGGAGCAGGGTGCGACGCACCCAGCGTTTTCGACTTCCAGTCGATCCATGGCTCATGGCGTTCCAGCCATGCCATGCTAAGGATGAGGTCATACCTCGCATCCAGGTCTAAGCCCAAACAGCGTTCCATGCTATCGAAGTTCTCA